AACGAGCCTGCCTCAGCACAGCCTCGCCGCAGCATGCATCCAGCCTCAGCCTCAGCCTCGGCCTGCATCAGCCTCAGCCTCAGCCTCAGCCTGCCTCAGCATCAGCCTGCCTCAGCCGCAGCCTCAGCCTGCCTCTGCATCAGCCTCAGCCTCAATCTGCCTTCAGCCTCGGCTTCAGTCTCAGCCTGCCTCTGCCTCAGCCTGCATCAGCCTCAGCCTCAGCCTGCCTCAGCCTCAGACTGCCTCAGCCTCAGCCTCAGCCTCAGCCTGCCTCAGCCTCAGCCTCAGCCTCAGCCTGCTTCAACCTCAGACCTCAGTCTGCCCGTCCGGCCTCGGCCTCAGCTCTCAGCCCTGCCCATCCTCAGGCATGCATGCAGTACCGCTGCCCAGCTGGGCCTGCCTCAGCATCAGCCTGCCTCGGCCTCAGCCTCAGCCTCAGCCTGCATCAGCCTCAGCCTGCTTCAGGCCCTCCAGCAGCCTGCTTTCAGCCTCAGCCTCAGCCTGCCTCAGCCTCAGCCTCAGCCTGCTTCAGCCTCAGCCTCAGTCTGCCTTCAACCTCGGCCTCCGCCTGCCTCCTGCCTCAGCCTCAGCCTGCATCAGCCTCAGCCTCACCCTCAGCCTGCCTCAGCCTCAGCCTGCATCAGCATCAGCCTGCCTCAGCCTCAGCCTCAGCCTGCCTCAGCCTCAGCCTCAGCCTCAGCCTCAGCCCTCACCCTCAGCCTGCCTCAGCCTCAGCCTGCATCAGCATCAGCCTGCCTCAGCCTCAGCCTCAGCCTGCCTCAGCCTCAGCCTCAGCCTCAGCCTCAGCCTGCTTCAGCCAAAGCCTCAGTCTGCCTTCAGCCTTGGCCTCAGCCTGCTCAGCCTCAGCCTCAGTCTCAGCCCTGGCCTCAGCATCAGCTCTGCCTCAGCCTCAGCCTCAGCCTACCTACAGCCTCAGCCTCAGCCTTCAGCATCAGCCGGCTTTCAGCCTCAGCCTCAGTCTGCCTTCAGCCTCGGCCTCGGCCTAAGCCATGCCTCAGCCTCAGCCTGCATCAGCCTCAGTCAGCCTCAGCCCAGCCTGCCTCTCAGCATCAGCCGCCTCAGCCTCAGCCTCAGCCTCAGCCTGCCTCAGCCTCAGCATCAGCCTGCTTCAGCCTCAGCCTCAGTCTGCCTTCAGCCTCGGCCTCAGCCTCAGCCTGCCTCAGCCTCAGCCTGCCTCAGCCTCAGCACCAGCCTGCCTCAGCATTCAGAATGTGGCCCGGGAATGGAGTTCTGGGAACTCGAAGAACACAAAGTGGCCTACAGTTGGCTCCGGGCATTCAAAATCATGCCCAAGAATAAAGTTCTGAGAGCTCGAAGACCACGAAGTGGCCTACAGTTGGCTCCGGGCATTCAAAATCATGCCCAGGAATGGGGTTCTGGGAACTCGAAGAAAACGAAGTGGCCTACAGCTGGCTCTGGGCATTCAAAATCATGCCCAGGAATGGAGTTTTGGGAACTCGAAGAAAACGAAGTGCGTTACTGTTGGCTAAAAAAGGAGTCCCCGGATTCCCGCGGCACCCGTCGGCATCTGTCCGGCATCTGCCCAAACCCCCCTGGGGAGTCATGATGCTCTCTTTTGACCCTACTAGAAACCTATCAGTCTTCGCTGTTAGGTAAACACCACCCGCCCTCCATCCGTGAAGCTGTTGCGAGTTGTTGAAACGAATGCGCGCGGCGCTACGGCGAGAATCACAGTTCGAAAACGGTCAGCCGTCAATCCTTGAACGGTTGCAAATTCCAAACTTGAAGATCATGAATGGTGAGGGAATCTCAAACTAAACGCCCGGCCCGCTCTGCCGTCACGTCTGGGAGTGCGACAGTGAGAATTTTGCTAAAGTAAAGAGGATGGAGGAGGAGGAGGAGGAGGAGGAGGAGGAGGAGGAGGAGGAGGTAGAAAGGGGGTAGAAGAGCAATGAGGCGGAGGAGGGGAGAAGGGGAAGGAGGAGCCCGACGACGAGCATGGGGGAGAGGGAGAGTGGAGCGAGGGGGGTGAGAATGATGAATGCGCCTTCTCTTGCCCCGCTTTGCCCTGAAGATCGGTGACCCTTGTCGGTCTGCGTCGTTTGTGGCCGCGCTCCTCGTCGTCGCCCCTCAGGCCTTCCCCTGGCTGGTGTCTTGGAGCCCTGCTGGGGTGAAGGCTCTGGTGCGACATGCAAGCATCTAACAAAAAGCCTTGCGAGCATCAATGAATATTGCACACCTTCCAAAACCATCGTGCTCTCCCACGCAGACCTGCCCAGGAGGTCCCGAGATCTGCCCGGGAGGCCCCGCGAAGCCACGCTCCGCGGGGGGGCCCCGGGTCGGCGTTCTTGTTGCCATCGGTTGCTTTCCTAACGTTCGTTCGGGAACAAACGTTGCTGGTCGTTTGTTTCCGTGGTTGTTTTCCTAACGTTGTTTTCGCGTGTTTTCCTAGCATATCTTTTGTTTGTTCGGTCGTTTTCGCTTGGTTGGCCCTGGCGCCCACGCCTTCAAAACTGCGTAGCAAACGCGACGCCGATGTTCTCCGATGCCTGGGTCCCTGGAGGCCCCATCAAATCTTGGGCGCCGGACATCAAAACATATCCGCGATGAAGAACAGGCAACCCCGGAGACAGGGTCGGGAGGTTCGGGTGGGCAACAAATGCCGCGGGGGTCCTGGGAGAGACAGCACGCGATGTTGCCGCCGAAGCCGAGAAAGCGGATAAGAGAGAGAGGGGGGGAAAAAGAGACAGAGAAAGAGAGAGAGAGAGAGAGAGACAGAGCGTGAACCCTCTTCACTCAGTAATCGGACTTGTTCGTGCTCTCTATCTTCTGGCTCTGGAAAAGCACAGGGACGGGCTGGAAGGGAAGGGGGGAGGTGAGGGTGATGGGGTGGAGAAAGGGGGTGCGAGGGAGGGGAGGAAGGCCAGAGACTGTGACAGACCTTCCATTCGCCCAACGTGGCCATGGGACATTCAATACCATGACGCGGGGTGCCGTTTCGGTTGGCTGTTTCTGCGCGAGGCTGCGATCGTTTATCTCTCATCTACGGGGGTGCTGTCTCTGTTTGCTGCTACTCAAAGGCACGTGACAATCGCGTCAGCGGCACGATCAGCTTGCGTGCCGCTGCGCCGCCATTGCTATCTGTTCCTATGAAACATGATCGACCCACGAACCCGGAAAGGAATATAGACATGTAAGGCACTGCAACATTTCAAAGACACCTGATTGGGCGACGGGCACATGCAATGCTGAATGTATCGATGATGATGTACTGTGCCGAGGGATGTGCTGTGCTACGCCGTGCTGAACTGCGATGTGCCATGCCGCGATTGTGCTCTATATAGCGTTGTGGATCGAGTCCTCCCTGGCATCCGAATCCTCACCGAACTGATCTGGAGCGTAAGCTCGAGCTGCCTGAGCAGATGGTAGCTGCCCCAGAACTAATCGACAGAGGGAACATGCCAGGAGGACGCGCCGCGGAACGTCCCAAGGGACGCGCCAGGCGACGTGCCAGGGGACGTGCCATGGGGACGCACCGCGGGACGTGCCAAGGGGACGCGCTACGGAACGTGCCAATGGACGTGCCGAGGGACGTGCCAGGGGACGCGCCGAGCGACGTGCCAGGTGGACTCGCCACGGAACGCGCCAAGGAACGTGCCAAGGTGCATAGTTGAGTGTATCGATCTTGATGTACCGTGCCGACGGCTGTGCTGTGCTGGGCCGTGCTGAACTGCGATGTGCCATGCCGCGATTGTGCTCTATATAGCGTTGTGGATCGAGTCCTCCCTGGCATCCGAGTCCTCACCGAACTGATCTGGATCGTACGCTCGAGCTGCCTGAGCAGATGGTAGCTGCCCCAGAACTAATCAACAGAGGGAACATGCCAAGAGGACACTCCGCGGAACGTCCCAAGGGACGCGCCAGGCGACGTGCCAGGGGACGTGCCATGGGCACGCACCGCGGGACGTGCCAAGGGGACGCGCTACGGAACGTGCCAATGGACGTGCACCGCGCGACGTGCCAGGGGGACTCGCCACGGGACGCTCCGCGGAACGTGCCAAGCAACACGCCAGGCTGCAATGCTCAAGGTATCGATATTGATGTACCGTGCCGAGGGCTGTGCTGTGCCTGGGCGACCTGGACACGTGAAAACACGCGTTTCGCTCAAGACGTTGTCATCAAAACCTTAATGCTAGACATCCGCCTGGGCAACCTGGACACGTGCAAACAAGCGTCTCGCTCGAGACATCCTCAACAAATGCTCATGCTAGACATCCGCCTGGGCGACCTGGACACGTGAAAACAAGCCTCTGGTTCGAGACATCCTCAACAGATCCTCATGCTAGACATCTGTCTGGGCCACCTGGAGGCGTGAAACCAAGCGTCTCGCTCGAGACATCCTCAAGACCGGGGCACGTGAAAACAAGCAATCCACTTGAGAGATCCTCAGAATTCAGGTCCCCAGGAGAGGACAATCTATAACACAAAACAAGCATTTCGCTCGAGACATCCTCAACGAATTCTGAAAAAACGAGCGTTTCGCTCGGGACATCCTCAAATGTTGATTCGCCGACCCTACGCGACCTCGTTATTTATCGCAAAAGAAATTCGCCGGCCCTACAGCCGTCAAAACCGGGGGTAAACCTACTAAAAGAGAACCCTGGGCCTATGCCCTTTCCAAGAAAAACCATTGTTGCCTTGCTTTGCTCTGCCTCTCATTGTTCGCATCACTAGCTTCCTTTCCTTTGCATCAGAACTTCGTCGTCGGTGTACTCATCGTCGCGGTGATGGAACCCACTGGCGAGAATCGTTGCACTACCACAAACTATGAACATGCAACTCCGATTGCTGGTTGGGGTCGTCGTCACCATCAACAGTTACCGAGACGGCACCAACAAACAGATCAGCTCACCTGCAGCCGCCCCGTCAGTGGCAGCACATCAAGCATCTCACTGCCCACACTTTACTGTCTCTCTCTCTCTCTTTCTCTATCTCTCTCTCTCTCTCTGCAGGCGAGCCTTCGTGAGCTCCGGAATGCCGATCCTGACGTTGGCCCCATTCACCACGGCGGAATAACCTAAGTCCGACGTCTTGATCGCCTGAGGCGCTCCGTGTGCGCAGAAGGGATGAACAAAAGGCGGCAGAAGGGTACGTGCAGAGCCCACTCCACAGCGGAGCTGCGTCCACGGAGCCAAGCAGACTCGAGCCCTGGTCAGAACATGCTTCGTGTGTGGGGGGGGCATCAGGCACCACTGGACAGGTTGTCTACCAGGACTTGTGCAAGGTACGCGGCGCAGCGGGAGGCTGATAGGTCGGATATCAGAGAGAAGATGCGAACTTTTTTCCGTCGCGGCGTGGCAGAGGCAATCTGCTCGCGCGCTCTGGTAGGAGAAAATGAAAGCACGCCAAATGTGAAACGACAGCATCAACATGGTGGAAGGGAAAGCGGAGAAGGACGCGGAAGACGATGATCGTTATGGAGATGTAGCAGGCTTTTGAAGTTGCGAACCAGACAAGGGACCCATGAACACCAACGACACTCCTACGTTCAAAAGATAATGTGGCGCGGCGGAAGGAATGCAGGGGGCTGGACAAGATAGGGCGGATGGAAGAAATGAGGGAAGGCGACAGGTTTGGGGACAGAGGGCAGCGGGAGGCCAAGGGGATACTGGGGGCCTTCAGAGGCTCCTCTGATGCCTAAATCCGTCCAAAAGCCGATATCATGTTTCTCCTCCACCTTTTCCCTGGAATGAACAAGATAATGAACACACGGGGAACGACCGAAGCAAACGTGCGAGGCACGTCCGTGATGGGCAGGTCAGGTGTGAGGGCCAACCAAGACGAGAGACGAAGAGAAAGGGTGAGACGAAGCGAATGCGGCCGTACAATACCAACACGGGACTCACACCGTCCCGAAGTCCCACCAGCCTTTTACACTTAGGTGTAAAGGGTGTTTCATTCCTTCTTCCCCTTCGGGGAGGGGCTTGTCACTGCTCCTTGTGAACGACCCCCCCCCCACCTGATACGCCGCCGACAGGGAACAATGACCCCTCCACCATGCATGTCAAAACAAGAGCAAGTGCACGAGGCGGCAGAATCTGCATCGTGAATGGGCACCCCGCAAGCACTATACGTGGCTTTTGGTCAAGGAGGGCGGGTGAACGTATTTGTCCGGTGTGCGCTCGCCCACGACCCTTGTCAGCAGCGAGTGCAAGCTGAGTGCGAGCGCAAAAACCATACATCATGCTGACCACCGCGGCCCTGAGGATTATGGGGTCTCCGACATATTGCCCGATGCGTGCTGTCACGTGCATTGGCGCCCCTGGCGCACTCTGCGTGCGTCGCGCACATGGCGCGGCCAGAGTCTCTCTGCCTCTGTCTCTGTCTTTGTCTCTGTTGTTCTCTCTCTCTCTCTCTGCCTCTGTCTCTGTCTTTGTTGGGGCTTTGTTCCCAACCATCCTGTGGTGTTGGGTCCTCAGTTTGAAGAGACAACGCCCCGCGTTCCCTCTTTCCTTCCCGCTGCCCCCTCCCTCCTCCCATCGTCGTCATCACCCTCCGTTTCCACCCCCCAGGACAGCGTTTCGTGGCCCCATAGGGAGCCCCACCGAAGGCTCCAGTGGCACAGGCCGCATGCGTCAACGCCACCCAGGACAGCCTTTCGTGGCCCCACAAGGAGCTCAACCGAAGGCTCCAGTGGCGCAAGCCGCATGCGTCAACGCCGCCCAAGACAGCGCTTCGTGGCCCCATAGGGAGCTCCACCGAAGGCTCCAGTGGCACAGGCCGCATGCGTCAACACCACCCAAGACAGCGTTTCGTGGCCCCATAAGGAGCTCCACCGAAGGCTCCAGTGGCACAGGCCGCATGCGTCAACGCCATCCAAGACAGCGTTTCGTGGCCCCATAAGGAGCCCCACCGAAGGCTCCAGTGGCGCAAGCCGCATGCGTCAACGCCGCCCAGGACAGCGCTTCGTGGCCCCATAGGGGGCTCCACCGAAGGCTCCAGTCCAACAGGCCGCATGCGTCAACGCTACCCAGGACAGCGCTTCGTGGCCCCATAGGGAGCTCCACCGAAGGCTCCAGTGGAAAGGCCGCATGCGCCAACGCCACCCAGGACAGCACTTCGTGGCTCCAAAGGAGCTCGACCGAAGGCTCCAGTGGCACAGGCCGCATGCGTCAGCGCCACCCAGGACAGCGTTTCGTGGCCCCATAGGGAGCTCCACCGAAGGCTCCAGTCCCACAGGCCGCATGCGTCAATGCCACCCAGGACAGCGCTTCGTGGCCCCATGGGGAGCTCCACTGAAGGCTCCAGTCCAACAGGCCGCATGCGTCAACGCCACCCAGGACAGCGTTTCGTGGCCGAGCTCCACCGAAGGCTCCAGTGGCACAGGCCGCATGCGTCAACGCCACCCAGGACAGCGTTTCGTGGCCCCATGGGGAGCTCCACCAATGGCTCCAGTGGCACAGGCCGCATGCGTCAACGCCACCCAGGACAGCGTTTCGTGGCCCCATAGGGAGCTCTACCGAAGGCTCCAGTGGCGCAAGCCGCATGTGCCAACGCTTCCCAGGACAGCGCTTCGTGGCTCCCTAGGGAGCTCAACCGAAGGTTCCAGTGGCACAGGCCGCATGCGTCAGCGCCACCCAGGACAGCGTTTCGTGGCCCCATGGGGAGCTCCACCAAAGGCTCCAGTGGCACAGGCCGCGTGCGTCAACACCATCCAGGACAACGTTTCGTGGCCCCATAAGGAGCTCCACCGAAACCGGTACCCACAATGCGATACTCGCAACTGCCTATTCTCTCGCTTTCTCCCTCATCATCGTTTCCAAATTCGCCCACATGCTTCCACATGCTTCCAGACTTTCTTTTGTATCTTGGTCGACATCGTTCTACCGTGTGTCCCAAGCATGACATAACCATCGGTGTTGTCTCAAGTCAGGCTCGTGATGCGTGCAACGCGTGTGACCGCTTTCGTGGCTTTCACACTAGTGTCCCGTTCCTTGTCATACCATCATCTGTTTGTGATGGGCACATTGGCCTCGGGATCCGATTCGGGTGGGTGGGTAATGCCAATCCGTTGGCGGTCTCGGTCCTCCTCCTCCTCCTCCTCCTCCTCCTCCTCCTCCTCCTCCTCCTCCCTTCCTCCTCCCTCCTCCTACCTCCTCCTCCTCCCTCCTCCTCCTCCTCCTCCTCCTCCTCCTCCTCCTCCTCCTCCTCCTCCTCCTCCTCCTCCTCATCCTCCTCCTCCTCCTCTCCTCCTCCTCCTCCTCATCCTCCTCCTCCTCCTCCTCCTCCTCCTCCTCCTCCTCCTCCTCCTCCTCCTCCTCCTCCTCCTCCTCTTCCTCCCGCCCGCAGAGGGAAGAGAGACGCACCAGGAAGGTGCAGGAGACCGGCCGGTGGCTGCCAGGGAAGAGCCCTGGTGCCTGGGAGTCGACCCTAGCGGGTACGGCGGGTTTGTGTCGTGACGACCCCAGCGGTGGTTTCTGACATCGCGTTGATCGTTCAACCTTGAACGATCGGCGGTTTATCGATTGCCATATCGTTCCATATTAGGACGATTCTGGGCCACTGGCGGCGTTCAACCTTGAACGCCCGCGGCGGGGTCGCGACGAGTCGACACGACGCGAACCTGCCGTAGGTGGGAGAGAGGGGGAGGGAAACGAGGAGAAGGGGCCCCGACCAGGACAGGGAAGCAGGCCGCAAAGCAGCTGGAGAGGGGGGAGCTGACCCCAGAGATGAGCAGGGGGTGCAGGCTAGCCCTTCTCTCTGTGCTGTCGGGCCCTCAGCCAGTTTAGAAGCGTGCCCCCCGTGAGCGCTCCACGAGGGAGGAAGAGTGGGTCGGGGAGAGAGGGGAATGGGAGGAGCACGCGCGAGAGCCAATGGTCGGAGGGGGGGGGGGAGGGGAGGAGGGGGAGGGGGAGGGGGCAGGGCAAGCTAGGTGCGCTCGCGTCGTATCTGACGTCCCACCCCTCCCTCCCAACCCTTCCCATGGCGTAGATATCCTCTCTATATTCGCACAATCGGATGCCGAGCAGGGCAATGATCGCGAGAGGGTGCGCGATGCATGGCAGAGAGCACGGCATGGCATGATGTAGAAGACCACGGCAGAGCGCAGCATGCCATAGCATGGCGTGGCATTGCGCAGTAAGGCATTGCATCACAAAGCAGGGGAACACAGAACATGGCATCGCACAGCGGCGCAGAACACAACACCGCACAGCATGTCATGGCATGGCGTCAGGCTCCTTGGAGGGTAAGTGGATCGTCTTCAAGAGGTCTGAGCCAGTCTGGAATCGTGGCTCCATGTCTAGCTCCTTGGGCTCCCCGAAAAGCTCCACGCAAAAAGGGGGCTGGTGGATGGCACCCGCTGGCTCTGCTTTCAACGTCGCCTTCTCAAAGCAGAAACGGAGCTCCCTCTTGATACTTCGTGAAAGCGACGACGCCCCAAAGTGGGGGTTGGGGGGTGGGGCTTCTGCGGCCCAAACAATCAACGAATCGACGCCGAATGTGCAATCACTTCCGAGGGTTTTTTCGAGGGGCAATTTTCTAGATTTTGGGGCCCATTTGGAAGGAAGGCCAGCGCTGCAGCGGGAGCACGATTCGGAACGAGCGGAAACGCGGAAATGAGGCCAGCGCTTAAGCGGGAACACTATTCAGAACGAACGGAAACCCGAAAATGGGGCCAGCGCTTCAGCGGGAACGCCATTTGGAAAAACAGCCCAAACGAAAACCCAACTCCTGGGAATTTTGTGCGAAAGAACCGTATGCGGAGCGGGACTGGATACCTTCCGGACGTCATCAGAGCAGAGTGGAGAGTAGTATTCATATTGTATCACTGCGGAGGGGAAGGGGGCAGAGGGGAGGGGGGAGGAGGGGAAGGGGGGGGAGGACCACGCGCGAGGGGGGGGGATGACGGGGAGGGAGGGGGGCGGAGGGCGGAGGGGGGGAGAGGAGGCGGGAAGGGCAAGCTGGGTACGCTCGCGTCATATCTGTCGTCATACCCCTCCCTCCCAACCATTACCATGGCGCAGGTCTCCTCTTTATGCGCGCAGGCTGATGTCGAGCAAGGCAATGATCCCGAGAGGGTTTGCGATGCACGGTAAGGCACGGCATAGCATGGTGTAGAAGAACGCGGCAGAGCATGTCAAAGCATGGCTTGGCGTTGCATAGTGTAGCATTGCATCACAACGCGTAACATAGCAAATAATAGCATCGCACAGCAGAGCACAACGCAAAATCGCATTGCATGCCATGGTATGGCACCGGATGCCTTGGAGGGTAAATGGCCCGTGTACGAAAGGAGAAAGCCTATCCGGAATCCCGGCTCCATGTCCTGCGCAACCGTGCCTACCCGATGTGGGCGCTTCCAGAAGCCAACAGCCGCCTGGTAGGAGTATGATAGTAGTGTAAGGCCTCCCCCCCTTCCTTTCGACATGCTGCCTTGCGTTCCCCGAGCCCCCTTCCAAGTCTCCGTGGGCTCCCCGGACAGCTCTGCACGAGGCGTGGCGGATGGCCCGAAGACTTCCAGAAGCTCCGGGGGACGCACAGAAATTGCCGACGGCGACAACGAAGCAGACGACGACGACGGCGGCGGCGGCGGCGGGGGGAACCGCGACGGGCGAGGACGGATGTCAGGGAATAGCACGGCGGGCTGCCAGGCTCGATGGTCTGGCTTCCTTGAACAATCGGCTCGCACTGGGCCCCTGGACCCCTCACGGGGGCCAGTCGGATCGGCGCTTTCCAACCATATCGTTTTTGAAGGTCCCCGGGGCCCGACGAAGGGGGGGGTCTTCTGCGGCCCCAGAAATCAACGAATCGACACAACCACTTCCGATGATTTTCTCGGGGGGCAATTTCTTAGAGTTTGCGGCCTATTTGGAAGGACCGAAAACTATGCCGTGGCATGGCGCTGGAAATAATGACGCCAGCGCTGCAGCAGGAGCACAATTCGGAACGAGCGGAAGCGCGGAAATGAGGCCAGCGCTTCACTGGGAACACGATTCGGAACGAGCGGTAGCCCGAGGCCAGCGCTTCAGCGAGAGCATCATTTTGAAACAAAACCCAAGCGAAACCCGTTTCCCGGGAATCCTGTGTGTAAAAAGCCAGTGCGCGGGAGGGGCCGAACATTTTCCCAGACGTCACCAGGGGAGAGAGGAGAGTATTCATATTGAAGAATTTTGAAGTGGGAGGAGGAGGAGGAGGAGGGGGAGGAGGAGGAGGAGGAGGAGGAGGAGGGGAGGAGGACCGATAGGGGGGGAAGCGAGGACTGGGGGGTGGACGGGCGAGGGCAAATGGTCGAACATGCCGCGCGCGCGCCTTCTCGACCGCCGGGGCGTTCTCGGCGTCGAAGCACGCGACAGTCAGGGACTCCCGCCCCACTGCGCTCAACACTCAGAAGGAGGAGGAGGAGGAGGAGGAGGAGGAGGAGGAGGAGGAGGAGGAGGAGGAGGAGGAGGAGGGGGAGGAGGAGGAGGAGGAGGAGGAGGGGCAGTAAGACACAGAAGTCACCGGTCTCTGGAGGTCTCTCCGTTGGTCCCTGGGGGTCTCCTGGGCCCCCCGAAAGTCTGGGGGCCCCGGGGAGCCTCCGGGTCGGGCGCTGCCCAGCGTGTCCCGAGGATTTGCACAGAGGCGCCTAGGGCCCCCAGAGCACCCCTCGCGAGGCCCAGGCGGCTCCAGGGAGCCCAGAATGGGGCGAGAAGCTGCCGCCCCCGATCTTGAGAACGACTCGGCGCGGCGATCCCCATGTGTGCAGTCCCAAACACTTCCCCTTGGGAGTTTCTGAGTGTGGGTGTGAAGCCACATGGACGACGGGTACGACGGGTACGACGGGGACGAGGACGACGAGGACGACGAGGACGACGAGGAAAACGACGACGACGACGACGACGACGGCGACTAAAACCAGGGCTGTGCTCGAGACGCCATCGCAACCAGTGCTGAAAGCAGAGGGGTCAGAGGAGCCAAACGGGCAAACCGCCCGAGGCAATCCTCGACCCTCCTCTTCCCGCCCTGCACGCAGACAAGACTGCCAACAACAAGCAGGCGTGTTGAGGTGGACGTCTGCCCCCCCCCCCTTCTCCCTACCCCCCGGCGGTGGCATTGCCATTTCAGAGGTGATTCAAGAGGAGACCTAGCCTTCCTCCTCCTCCTCCTCCTCCTCCTCCTCCTCCTCACTCCATCCTCCTCATCCTCCTCCTCTCCTCCTCCTCCTTTTCTCAATTCCTTTTACCGTTGCACGGTAATACTGGTGAAGCTTTTCCTCCTCCTTCTCCTCCTCCTCCTCCCTCCTCCTCCCTCCTCCCTCCTCCTCCTCCCCCTCCTCCACCTCCCTCCTCTTCCTCCTCCCTCCTCCTCCCCCTCCTCCCTCCTCCTCCTCCCTCCTCCCTCCTCCCCCCTCCTCCTCCTCCTCCTCCCCTCCTCCTCCTCCTCCTCCTCCTCCTCCCTCCTCCTCCTCCTCCTCCCCCTCCTCTCTTCCCTCTCCTCCCTCCTCCTCACTTCTCCCCTCCTCCCCTCCTCCTCCGCCTCCTCCTCCTCCTCCTCCTCCTCCTCCTCCTCCTCCTCCTTCCTCCTTTTCTCAATTCCTTTTACCCTTGCACGGTAATGCTTGAACCGTCTGCGCGCAAACCTAGGGAGTAAGGAAAGTAGCCAGGAAGGATCCGCCACCGTGCCTCCGGAGTGGGCGTAACCGCAGGTCCTTCGCCCAATCCCCTGAGCCTCATCGTCACTCCTTAGGGGCCCGACGCTCAAATTGCCAAATCTTCATAGGCTTGGCGCGGTTCACCTTGGACTTGGCGCGTGGTGGCAGGAGGGCTGCAAGTCGGGCCAAGAGGGCCCCAAGAAGCCTCCAAGACTGCCCAAGGCTGTCCCGAGTCGCCGAATGATCGCCCCAGGACGCTCGAGATGGCCCCCAGACGGCCCCAGAGGCCTCCAAGACGCCCCAAGGGGCCCCAAGAGGCTCCCCAAGAGGGTCTCAAGAGGCCCAAATCATTGAGTTTCCTTAGGTTTTTGAAGGACGTTGGCGTTCTCGCCTTTTCGGCGCCGGCCCCAAAACTGCCCAAAAGAGCCCCAAGACAGCCCAAAAATGCGCCCAAAACGGCTCCAAAAGGAGCCCCAAAGAGGGAACACGAACCGGAAACCCGAGCCTTCCTCCCCAAGAGGCCTCCAGGATGCCCCACGAGGCGACCAGGAGGCCCCAGGAGGCCCCAAAGAGGCTCACACGGGTCCCCAAACGGCCTTCAAAAGGCGTGTAAACTGCCTCCAGGAAGCGGGCCCCCGAGAAGCCTCCCACGAGATCCCAGCGAACATCCAATAGGCTTCTACCCACAACCCAAGCACGGTGGCTGGATGGGCCGAAGGCCATTCGAGTAGTGAACGGAGGATGGATGAGGAGGGTGGAAGCATAACCGAGGCCAGCAATGGCGATTTGAGTGTCAATCCGCTGCGGCGCTGCGTGGACTGCAAGCACTCACGCACTCGGCACCAGGCGATACACCCGCACGGACACATTCCGGGGTGGCATCGGGCCGGGCATGGCTGCGGCGTGACCACGGATGGAACAAGAAGCCGCCCGCACGTGGCATCGGGCTGGCAGCTGCTGGCGCGAAGCATGGCCGCGTCCATCTTGTAGCGCTGCCAACCTGCGGCGGTCACACACCCAGGTTGGCGGACATGCTGTGTGACCCCTCTCGGGGGCCCTCGGGGGCCCCGCGGGGCTGCTGAGGTGGCCCCGTGCCAGGCCCGCGGCCCAGCCCGGCCGCGTGCCCCCGTGTGGGCTGCCCCCGGCGCCCCCAGGCGCTCCCAGGCGCTTCCAGGCGCCCCCAGGCGCTCCCAGGCGCTCCCAGGCGCTCCCAGGCGCTCCCACGCGCTCCCAGGCGCCCCCACAGGCGCTCCCAGGTGCTCCCAGGCGCTCCCAGGCGCTCCCACGCCCCACATAGGGGGGCCCAAGTGCCACGCCGGCTCTGTCGCGGAGAGCAAGCGAAGCACCGCAGAAGAACCGCCCCGGGGGGCCCGAGGCGAGCAGACCGCGCCAGGAGTCCCCCACGAGGTGGGCGCGGCAAGCGACGTGCAGACGCCCCTGGCAGCTTCCCCTTGGGGTGCTCAAGTGCCGCGCCTGCTATATCGCGGTGAACATTGGATCACCAAGCGGAGAACACTTGGGGGCGAGGCAACCCAAGCACTCGAAACATCCCCACAGCCTGGGCGCGAACGGGGGAATGAGATACTCCCTGGCGACTCCCTCTTGGGAGTGCTGAAACCAGCGCCTCGCTCGAGAGATCCTTACCATGCATTTTGAAAAGAGATTTGCACACCCAAACAAGCCCCCCCCAGACATCCCAACAATGAGGGCGCGAACGCGGTAACGAGATACACCCTGCCTGCTCCCTCTTGGGACTGCTGAAACTAGCGCCTCGCTCGAAGCATCCGCAGTCTTCCTCGGCAGCAGAGGATGCTGCGCACCCAAACGAGCACATCGCTCGAGACATCCCCACAATCTGGGCGCCCAAAGTGGAATGATATACCCCCTGGTGGCTCCCCACTGGGAGTGCTGAAACTAGCGCCTCGCTCGGGACACCTATCACAAATATTCTGAACACGCAAGATGTTGCGCACCCGAACAAGCAAACCGCTCCAAACACCCCTACAATCTGGGCCCGAACGGGCCCGTGAAAAGACTGTGGGAGTGCTGAAGCCACACCTCGCTCGAGACATGCTCACAGTTTGCTCTGAGAGCAAGGGATGCGACGCACCCTAACAATCACATCGCTCGAGGCATCCACACAATCTGGGCCCGGACAGCGGGAGTGGGATACCCTCTGGCGGCTCCCCAATCGAGAGTGCTGAAGCCGACGTCTCCCTCAGAATCTGCTCTTAAATCAGCGGACGCTACGCATCCGAACGAACACACCGTTCGAGACATCCCCACAATCTGGGCGCGAACGGGCCCATGAAAGCACCGTGGAGGTGAGAGTACTGAAGCCATACCTCGCTCGAGACATCTTCTCAATCTGCGAATCTTGCTGGTGAGTCTGAGCGTGAATGAATATAATGTGAATGAGTCGGGCTACGAATCGATATGAATATGGGCGAATGTGAATGTGAATGAATCAGGGAATGGGTATGCCCGGGTCTGAGTGAGTCTAAATCTGGGTGTGTATGTGTGCGTGAATCTGAGCGAATCTCAATGCGTGAGTGATCTGAATATAAAGAGGGTCTACGTATGAGTGAACCTTAGTGTGAAGGATGCCCCATCTTGGGAAACGGAGAGCAAGGCGGAAAAGGAGGAGTGCGTGAGGAATCGGAAGCGTCAAAGGAATTACTCGGCGCGCAGATGTCCACCTCATATTCCTGTCTGCGAGCATCCGGGTGTGAGAGCGATTCCGCGTAGACGACGGGCGCGACAGCGACGACGGCAGCGACGACTTCAGCGACGTCCTCCTCCTCTGGGCGGCTTTCAAGAGAGACGAAGAACGCACACATGGAAGAGCGAGAAGGGATTCCCCTTGCCCATTTCATTGCGGCAACTCGGGCTAGAGCGCATGGAGTTGCTACGCTGAAGGGGCCCACAAACACACAAATAAATACACACAAATAAGAGGATTCCCCATATTTTCCTATATTTTCTGAGTTTTTGTCTTCCCCCCCACTTCCCATATTTTCCCATATTTTCTGGGAAATCGACGATTAATTGTGTCTGTGTGTTTTTTCCCCTCCTGATACGCCCCCTGTTGGCACTCGAGGTGCCCAAGCTCCACGCGTGCTATATCGTGGTGGCCACCTGTGTGTGAGCCCGAATGCGGGTGGATCTGAGCGTGGGTGCTCTCAATGTGAGTGGGTCTTTGGTGAATACGGGTACGGCAGGTTCGTGTCGTGTCGACCCCGGCGTTGGTTCCTGACACCTCGGGGATCATTCAACCTTGAACGATCGGCCATTTCAGAAACGTCCAAATCGTTCCACATCGAACGATTCTGGGTCGCCCGCGGCGTGCAAGGTTGAACGCCACTGGCAAGGTCGCCGCCGGTCGACACGACACGAACCTACCGTGTGGTTGAGCCTGAGTGTGAACGAATCCGAGTTTAGCGGTCGAAATGCGAGTGGGTCTGGACATGGATGAGTCTGAATGTGGGTTAGCCTGAGCGAGAACGGGGCCGACTATGAGTATGGTGAACATATGTCTGAGTATGAGTGAGCCTTCGTACGAGTGAGTCTGGGTAGAAGTGAGTCTGACGGTGGGTGGGAAGTCTGAATGTGAATGAGTCTGGCTGTGCGTTAGCATGGGTAGTATGAGTGTGGGCGGGTCTGAGTTGAGTAGGTCTGACTATGACTGAGTCAGAGTCTAAGTATGAATGAATATGTATATGGGTGAATC